ATTTTATTAGTGTGCTTTCAAAAGGGAAGTAAAAACAGTTTTAAATTTGCAGGATTTCAACTTCAAACATTATTCATTTTATTGAATAATTACCATACATAGTACATTTGAATCAGAAACTCAAAGCTTCCATTACTCTTTCCATAACTAATTTGAATTACTTTGTGATTTGTAACAGTAAACATTTTCTTTGCACTGAAGTGACAGTTGAGCGAGCGACTCAATTTTAATTTTGTTAGCAAATATTTTGTATGAACTCTAATAATAATAATCATGACTTTTTTCCCCAATGAAAAACAAAAATTATTTAAACCTTTCACCCAGTATATTCTGGTATAAGTAGTAGTACTTTCAGGTAATTTAAGTGGCAGGATTGTTTATGCAAAATTTGGCATCTGTAGGTAATCGCGAAATAGGACTTTATTTTGCACAAACTCTTCAAAATATATAATAGATTCTTACTATCTACTTGTCATCCCTGTTCTCTGCTATAGGAAAAAAAATTAAGTGTGCCAATTGTTCTCAAAATCAAATGTTTAAGGAGTTGGAACTGCAACTGGGAGCTAGATTCGTCTTCCATTTATCTCCATTGCTAAACTTCTATTGACTTTAGAAAAAGAGCCTGATCCTGTCTTCCATAAAGTGAACATCTCTAGTTATTACCATAGCCAATAATTTTCTGAATCTGACACTGCACTGAGCAGTTATGGTAGTGCAAACTATAGTAATAATGGATATCGTTGGCCTCTGGTCCCTCCAGGGAAATGAGGCTAAACCATCTCCTTAAGAGTACAAAGTGTACAGTCTACTCATTTTGCTTCCCATGCATCTATTCCGCTATTTTAACCAAACAGGTAGGTTGGTGAATTTCAGCAACACCCAAAAGCAGTTATATATACACACATAAAAACCAACAAAACATTATGAATCTGAGAAGGAGACAAAAATATTAAACATTACATTGATAACATGTAATTTTTGTTCTTTTTATTGATTACAAAGTCCTTCTTAAAAAAAACAACAAATGGTCTAGTAGCACTTTATAGACGAACAAAACATGTAGATGGTATCATGAGCTTTTGTGGGCACAGCCCACTTCTTCCAGTCATCTGAAGAAGTGGGCTGTGCCAACAAAAGCTCATGATACCATCTACATGTTTTGTTAGTTTATAAAGTGCTACCAGACCATTTGTTGTTTTTGTCTGTAACAGACTCACTCGGCTACCCCCTGAAGCTCAGTTTCTCTAAAAGAAATGGTAGATGCTAAGAGATTAAATATATTTATGTTGCTGCCAATCCTTTACAGGGTTCTGGCGAATGAAATGTACATTAACATTCCAATTTTGTAAAAATGAGATTTTATAAACGTAAGCCTAATAGAACTATTTCCATTAAAAATAAAATCTAATGAAAACAGTCGCAGGGAACAGTTAAATAAAAACAGCATAATACTGTAATATAGACTGCACAATATTAAAACCAACAATCTAACTGATTTTCATTATTTTCAAGAGAAAATAAAATAGAAAAAACAAAAAGGATTAAGTGCCTATTTTTATAAATACATCAGTGTCAGTAATCTGAAATGTCATTGATTAAAAAATTATAAATGTATGATTATTTTAGTCAACCATGTGCCTCACTTTCAATATTTTTGCTCTTAGTGGGAAAAACTGGGTGATTTTGATAATCTCGACATTAGCAGAATTATGCTGTGCCAGTACTAAGGGCAGATCTGTTGGCAGGGTTTTTTATGCCAATATAGAACCACAAACAGGAGAGTTTGAGAGGAAAAGAAGGCGATCCCCCTGATGAACGAACAAGATGTAACTAACAACTTTGGGTGAATGACTTTGCTTGACTGTTTGCATTTTCTTCTGTTTCAAGTGACTTCAGTTATTTCAGTTACTGTGTCAGTTGGGATTGTGTGTCTGGGACTGTTTGAGCCTTTTTTTCCCCCCTTGCTCAGCCTTCTGATTACCCTCTTGTGTGGATAAAGAAGGTAGGGTTGAACATTACTCAGTGAAGAAGGAAAACAGAAAATGTGGAGACGTGCTTAACGACTTATTTGTTTCAGTTTTTACCAAAGCGACTGGTGGTGACTGGATGCCTACAATAAGAAATGCTGAAGAAAATGGAGGTAGGTCAGAAGTTAAAATAGGAAAAAAGTAAAAGATTACTTAGAAAAAAGTTAGAGGTCTTCAAGTCACCAGGGCCTGATGAAATGCATCATAGAATACTCAAGGAGCTGATGGAGGAGGCATCTGAGCTAGGGTTGTTACATTTCAATTAATCAGCTAATTGAGTAGTCCATGGAACTTCCATTAACTATTCAATAAGGGGGGAGGGAGGCACTCTCTATCCCCACTGCGCCTCTGCCTTTGAAATGTAATTAGAGCTGCCCCACAGCTCTTGTTACATTTTCAAAGGCAGAGGCGCAACAGTTGGAACCAACTACATGCAGAGACTGCTTCAGTCCCTGCTCACACTGGGTTCCCTGCTGCACCCGTCTCCGCTATCTATTCCCTCCCCTCCCCCACAGCATGGAGATGGTGCTGGGGGGGGGGAAACCAGATTTTAAGCTGACTCCCACTTCCTCCCGCCCCTTGCTGCTTCTGATATAGAGGCAGCAACCGTGGGGAGAGGGGCAATGTGAGTAGTCAGCTCTACTACCCACATTCAGTTCCTGGCCCGCTCTGCCTCCTGGGAGTTGTAGTCCCAAGCACGCTGGGCCGAAAGATGGCTGGGGGCTATGCCTTGTGGAGGAGGGACTGTGTGTCCCAGAGCCAGCCACACTGTATGGGCTGCACCAGAGCTGGCCGGAGACTGTGATGGGTGGAGGTGGCTTGGCATGTCCTGGAGCCAGTGCTGCAAGCTGCACCCAGAGGCAGCCGGTGACTGACTGACCCAGTGGCTTGCTGTGCAGATGGGCTTGAGAGGCCGCACTGGGCTGGAGCAGGGTAGTTGTAAACACCAGGGAGGGGCGGGGGGTGTCATAAGTCAGGCGGTCACCTATAACAAATCATGTTAAATCAACCTGATAGCCTTCTTTGATAGGAGAGCAAGCCTTGTGGATAAGGCAGAAGCACTAGACCTGGTATACCTAGACTTTTAGCATGTGATACAGTCTTGTATGACCTTATCAATAAACTAGGGAAATACAATGTAGTATTTATATAACTACTAGGCTAATATAAAGGTGGGTGACTAACTGGTTGGATTACTGTTCTCAGAAAGTAGTTATCAAAGGCTCATGGATATGTTGGAAGGGCGTAACAAGTGGGGTTCTGTGACTGTCAGTTTTGGGACTGGTTCATTTTAATATCTTCATCAACGGTTTAGATATTGGCATAGAGAGTACGTTTATTAAGTCTGTAGATGATACCAAGCAAGGAGGAGTTGCAACTGTTTTGGAGCATAGGATTACAATTCAAAATGATCAGAATAAACTAGAGAATGGTTTGAGGTAAATAGGATAAAGTTCAGTAAGGACAAATGCAAAATACTCCACTTAAGGAGGAACAATAGTTGCACATGTATAAAATGGAAAGTGACTGTCTACTGTCTAGGAGTCATAGTGGACCACAAGCTAAGTATGACGCAACATTCTGAGATGCATTAACAGGAGTGCTGTAAACAAGACGCGAGAAGTAATTCTTCTGCTCTACTCTGTGTTGATTAGGTCTCAGCTGCAGAACTATATCTAGTTCTGGGTACCACAAATTTAAAGATGATGTGGAGAAATTGGAGAAAGTCCAGAGAAGAGGAACAAAAACAATTAAAGATCTAGAAAACATGACTTATGAAGGAAGATTGAAGATGGGGTTTGTTTAGTCTAGAAAAGGGAATATTGAGAGGGGACCTGATAATAGCTTTCAAGTACCTAAAAGGATGTTACAAACAGGAGAGAGAGAAAAATTATTCTCCTTAATCTCTGATGATAGAACAAGAAGAAACGGGCTTAAATTGCACAATGTGAGGTTTAGGTTCGACATTAGGAAAAACTTCCTGTCAGAGTGGTTAAGCGCTGGAACAAATTGCCTCGAGAGGTTGTGAATCTCCATCATTGGAGATTTTTAAGAGCACGTTAGACAAACGTGTATCAGGCATGATCTAGATGATGCTTGGTCCTGCCCTGAGTACAGAAGACTTAATGACCTCGAGGTACCTTCCATTTCTAATATTTTATACTTGTGCTTGCAAAAAAAATGATTTAAAACAGAAGAGCCAAGACTTCGCTCCATTAAAATCGATTCTACAGGATTCGGACAGCTACAACATAACAGAAATCCGGAATCCACTCTTCTCAGGGTTAAGTGACTACATAGGACTTGACCCTGCAACAACCACAGAAAGAAACATGAACAGATGTTGAGCATTTTTCTCAAGAAGTGTGCAGCAATTTGCATGTGGTACTACTGAGACACAAACACAGTTTTGAATCACGTAAGCAAACCTTGAAAGACAGGGCATGGTCAGGGAAGCAGTGGCTTACGTGTAAATCTGTTGTAAAGAAATGATTTTAATTATTTTAAGACAGCTTTGCTGCCACCCTTAAGTATTGCTGCTTTACACCAAGGGAACCAATGTCAAACTGAGAACAGAGGTGCCATGAGAGACAGAAACAAATGTAACTATCTTTTACTGCCAGCTGCTCAAGGCATCATGGTATATGCTAGGAATTGTATTTTTGCTGCCCAAACTGAATGGAATGTATGTTAATTGCTTTAATGGATCAATAAGAATGACTCCCCAGTGGTTCAGTAGTGTCTTCTCTCAGCCTTCCATAGCCTTTCAAGATCAAGACCTTCAAGCCTACATACAGTTTATTTCCCAGCTCTTGCAATGCCAATGCTTGTCTACATTCTAGAAACTGAAAAAGGATTGGGGTGGGGTGGAGTAGCGTGGAGTGGAGTACATGACATTCTTCCAAGAAAAAAAAATCAAACTGCAATAGGAAGTTTTGAAATTTTAGAAAAACATCTCATGATTATTTGCCATTTAAGTTTGTTTTCCCAGCCACTAAAGAGACTGAATGCATCCTCACTCAAAGTGAAGGACAAACTACTTGTTGGCACATCTATCACTTACAGGAACTTCCCTTCAAAATGCAGTCACTGGCACTTTTACAGAAACTCTTCTTTAGAAATACACTTCGTTTTAACAACCTGTATTAAAACAAAACACATCAGTGAATCTTCTTGTAATCAGACATTGCATGTTTATTTCTTCAGTCATTTTTATGTTTTTTATCTAGATGGTTCCCAATCTGTGGAGAAAAATCCTTAAACAGATTACCTTTATTCCTTCTTTAAACCTGCGTTTGATCATGTCTATAAATACAAATGTATCTTAACAATTCTACACCTGCAGAAATAGTACAATTGGTGGCACTGATAAAATGTGTCCCTATTAAACAAAAATTTCACAAAACACTATATGCAGTAGTATCTGCCATTCATTTTTATCATAGCTTAATTAGTCTCCTGGGAGATGCCCCACTAAAGCATTTGTATCAACAAAGCATCTCCTGATAAAGACAATTCTGCGTAACAGTACTCTTTTCTTCTAACTCCTTTACAAATTTTTCCTTGTAACACCCAAGGCAGCTTAACAGAGAGGAAAAGCACATTTTCTAAATGAGTAAACTTGCCTTCATCTTCCTCCGGATTAGGAGATTCTTTCCTGCTGTCTTTCATAGATATTTTTTGGTTGTACACCATTTCTTCAAGGCCACCTTCTAGCTTCTGCATATCTGCCTGAAGACTTATTTGGAGATCATTGTTGTCCTTTAAGAATTCCTTTATCATTTGGATCCTATTTAAGTTCTGTTGTTGTTTAGCAACAGCAAAACAAAAACAAATCTTGATGAAAGCAAATCATTACAATATAAGTTGCTTAACCTATCACACTTTCTTTATATTTGCTCTTTAGCATGTGATTTTCACATTCTCTAATTATTAAAAAAAGCGTAATCTTGCAGCACATTAGAGACTAACAAAAGCGTGTGTATCATGAGTTTTCATGGGCAAAACCCACTTCCTCAGATAAGAAGAGTGGAGAGGCAAAAAAGATCAATTTTAGTGCCAGTGCTAATGAGGTAATTGAGTGGGCTGGAATTGTCCCATACTTAGCTTTTGATGTCAATTGGCTGCTGAATGTAAGGAAAGCAGGTTTTATAATGGCCCATACAGTTCATGTCTTTGTTCAACCATGAGGAGGATAGTGTCAAATTTGCATATGAAGACCAATTCTGGAGTTTCTCTAGTTGTTTTTTCTTTCTAGAAGAATAGCTACTTTTAAATCCATTAATGAATGCCCAGGTATGTTAAAATATGCTGCTACAGGTTTTTGTGTATTATCATTTATGATATTTGACGTGTGTCATAGGGACTGTCCAGTTTGGCCAATATGCATGGCAAAGGGACATTGCTGGCACTTAATGGCATATATCACATCAGAGAATGCGCAGTTGTATGAGCCCCTGACATTGTGACATATGTGGTTAGGTCCGTGATGTCACTTGTATAGATGTGTGGATAGAGTTGGCAATGGGATTTATTGCAGGGATAGGATCCTGGGTGAGTATTTGAGGTGTTATGTGTGGCTCCTGGAAGGAATTTGCTTCAGGTTAAGGGATTGTTGTAGGCGAGGACTGGCCTGTCTCCCAAAACCAATCATAGCCTACAGACAAGTGACAGCATCACAGGAACTAAGCACATAGGCTAACAAAGATATCACTAACACAGCTACCCCTCTGAGAACTCTAATTATAAAAGGCTTTTTGTTGGCTTATTTAGGGTTCCTGCATTTTCTGGCCAGAAAAATATAGTCCTGCTATTAAATGCTTATTTATTTTAAGTATACAGTATTGGTGTAGCTGTATCAGTCCAAGGACATTAGAGAGGCAAGGTTGGCGAGGTAATATTTTTATTGGACCAACTTCTGTTAAAAGAGACAGAGGCTTTTGAGTTTACACAGAGCTGACCTGAAAAAGAGCTCTCTGTAAGCTGGTTCAATAAAAGATAATTTCTCCTTGTCTCTGTATGTATTTTAAGAACTAATTCTTTTTAAGGTGTGGGGTTATTTTTTTTTTCAAGAGTAAAAGCTGGTGAGTGGGAGTGTAGCTTTAGCAAAATGAGGACAAAGGATGTGGGAAACATGTGAAGCTGATGACAGATTGCCTAAGTCCTCTCAGAGAAAGGAATTTAAACTCAGGTATGATAGGTCATTTAATACCTCATTTACATCAAAAGCTAAGTATGGGACACTTCCAGCACACTCAATTAGCCTCATTAGCACCAGTACAACAAATGACAGGTACATTCTCCCCCTCCCCCCCTTCCTTTTTTCAGTTATAAATTCTGGGTTCCTGTTTGTTTTTTTCCACTCCAGCTCATCTGAAAAAGTGGGTTTTGCCCATGAAAGCTCATGATACTATATCTATTTTTGATACCTCTAAGGTGCATAGAACTATTTGTTGTTTTTAAGACACTGGTCCACCAAGATGGTCCAAACAAAGTATTTTTATGTAAGTAGATAAACATTTTACAAAGATAAGTGAAAGCTGATGGAAGACTGGACTGTAAACCTGTCTGAGTCAAACAGCTTCACAGCAGAACAAATCCACTGTGCGTTTTACCAAACCTATTATGGTACGTGCACAATACTTTTTATTATCTCATACGTAAAACTATAATTGTAGATTAATATACCGGTACTTTTAAAAATTGCAGTGATGCTAACACACACCAAGGAAATTATAGCTTATTGTTGTTACAGTAACCTCAGTTCATCCCGACTCATCTATGTGTTCTAGCACATGCTACATGTATATTCCAAGTTCATTCCTCCTCTTCCCACAAGAGAATTCAATGTAAAGACTGTTAAGCCTATCTAAACTCACTGTGGGGTTGTTCTTTTTTAAGAGAGGATGAAATGAGTTCAGTTTAATTTTTAAAATACTGGCCTATTTGCAGTTTCAAATGAAAAAAATATTTCCAATTTTTGGCAGGTTTCCCCCTTTCATTACATGATCATGTGAAAGGAAAATCCACTCTTTTGTAATCAAGTTGTCCTTTCTAGCAGAGGGAGACTACAGGAGGTAGCTGATCCCAGAAGAGATCTTTCCAGATGTTACAAGCAACTGCAGCCTTGGAGAAGCTCAAGCATGTAGCAAGAAGATCCTGGGAAAAGCAATTCCCAATTCTGCCAGAAACCAGCAGGCAGCATACACTACACATATGCAAGGAAGCCAAATTATAGCCACTGTGATGGCTATATCTTTGCATGGCATACACGTTTAAATTATGTGATATAAAGAGTTTTTAAAATGTAACCATTGTTTAGTTTATCTGAAAAGGTGCAATTCTTTAAAAAAATTCTCATCAGGTTAAGACAGGGATTTTTACATCTGGAATACAGAAAGAACTAAATTTAAAAGTTAAAAACAGCTGATGATGGCGGAGAGGAGCATACACCAGTATTCAGAGAATCTGTGTACATCCATGGACCAACAACGGTGTCAACATTTCTACCCGCGTATTCAAACATTTGGTGACTGGAGGAGGAAGAAAAGAAGTTGACCATGAAAGGATCTCTCTCAAAGTGGACCAGAACAAATGATAATTGGAAAACACCTGGACCGAAAAGAAAGATGAATCTGAAAACATGACACCATTTAAAATTATTGAAGAGATAGTCTCAATTTAACTTTGGGTGCAAAGCAGAACTGGGGTATAAACATGAAATGTGTGACATGGAAATGACCAGCAAAGAGAAGAAGTCTTTCCCTCTTTTTTAAATGTTTTCTTATGGATGCTCAGCATATCATGTGTGCTTCTCAGGATGAGAAGCATCCAAATTTATATGAGAAATATGGGTGCTATATACTTTAAAAAAAATTGCTTGCTAAACGGAAACAGAAAAGAAAGCCAAATGAAGGACATTTTCCCCAAGAGGACTACTGAACTGCAGAGAACAAGAGAGTTCTTCATACAAAAAACTCTTGCAAAATGTAGAATTGAGTTTTCACAATAAAAATGTCACTGAGAATGAAGACTGAGGATAAAGAAATGCTACGTTTGTTAGACATTTGTTTAATTTCCTAATTTACAGTGGAGATGGGAGATGAGATCTGTACATGACTCAGGAGTTGAAAAGGGGAGGCATTTCTACAGCTGAAAATGGAGACCCAGACAATATGCTTTTCACAGAAGACATTGAAAAAACAGAGATGCTAGAAATTACATAAGTATTGGACAATGTCTAGGTGTCAGGCCCAAAAGTTGCATTTAGTTTACAAGTGCTTTTTGCTTAAGGCTTCACTTTAGATTCTTTCAAGGTAACCTGAAGATGCAAGAATGATATAAAGATATGTAAGGGAGGAAAAAAATTCAAGAGACACCCAACTATCTTTGGGTTCCAACCCTAGAATAACTAAACCTCTTCAAAGCTTTTATCTTCTATTGTGACAAGTCAGATGAAGTTTGGGAGTTTCACAGGGTCTCACTGACTAGGCAGAAGGGTTCAGCCAGGTTTTCCCAGGCCTTGGGAATTATTTTGTTTATTTTAATACCTTCCCACAGAATTTAAACTGAGAAAAATCTTCTTTTCACCCTGGGTTCAGAGCCTTGTAAAAAGTAAACAATTCTTCCCCTAGTTAAGGCTCAAGAGGCTTTGTGCAGCCAACAATTCAGTCTTAATTTAAAATAATAAAGGACTTTTTAGATAGCATGGTCCTCCTCCTTTTGCCTCAGAGGAACATTTTGCTCCTGATGCTGGCACTCAATACCTTCAGGGTACCTCCCTCTTAGTAACCTGGGAAATTAATACAGAATAGCTGGCCCAGTCTGGTTACTCTGACAATTACTAATATCAAGCTAGTTCCAGTAGTCTTGACTACAGTAACTGTTAACCTGCTTCCTACTCATTCCTGGAGAGGATCTGCAGAATTTGTCTCAGCTTTCAGCATGCTCAAGCAAAGCTTTATGTTGAGACAAAGGTTACATTTTTAACATTTTCTTGTAACTTAAATGGAAAAGAGATTTAAAGATTGACAGAAATACTGGTGAGGGTAAGACTTTTTTTTTTTTTTTTTTTTTTTTTTTTAAGTCTTCCCTCATCTCTGCTACAAATGATTGAAGTACTTAAAGCAAAATAATTTCAAACTAATTTACTTCTCCTTTTGTGGTCTTTGCTATCTGATTTTCACACACATAACAATAAAGGAAAACATACTAGTCAGTTTCATTTAGTTTTTGTTAGCTAATACAATGCTCATGTTTGCAAACATGGAAGGGAGATGTTTCTGTTTATAAAACCTTTTCATACAAATTAAATACATCAATTTTAGATTTTGTCAAAATGTTTTGGTTTAAATAAATCTTTTTTTTTTAAATGCCCAATTGCATCCCTTTTAGCTACAGATGCAAAAAACAGGTTCTAAGACAATTAGAAGTTTGATCTAAAAAACTTTAAGGTTATTTTCTGAAATACAGGCAGTCCCCGGGTTACGTACAAGATAGGGACTGTAGGTTTGTTCTTAAGTTAAATTTGTATGTAAGTCGGAACTGGTACATATTGTAGGGGAAACTCTAGCCAAACATTTCTCCAGAGCTCAGTTTTATTCTCCCACACCTCACTTCCCTCAGTCCTTTAGTCTCAAGCTGAGGTGTCTGCTGAGAAAAGCCGCTCCATGTCTCCCTGGTCTGCTGGGGGGAGGCAGCTAGTGTGGGGTTGCCTCGCCCCGTTTGTAAGTAGGGATCTGATGTAAGTCGGATCCATGTAACCCGGGGACTGCCTGTATACCTTTAGAAATTCTGATAACTCAAACATAACACTAATTTTAGGACAAACATTTAAAGTAAATTCAGAACACATGCAGGGAAAATTCAGCAAAGATATTTTGCTTACTTAAGGAAACTGATGCATTCTAGGTACAAATATGTAACCTACTAATGCTAAAGGTAATTACGTGACTATATTAAAAGAGGATGAGAACATCTTAAAAAGCAGACTATATAGACACATGCATCTCAGAGATCTTGTAGGTAGATTACTGCCATGTTAGATCAGGGAAACTCAATGTATGTATACATCATTCACATTTTCAAGCATCTTCTGTATCTCAACTAGCCAGTCTTCAATACTGAAGTTTAGGAGTCTCTGGAAAAGTATTCTCAGCAGGCAATCACATTTCATTCTGTGATAAATTACCTAGATGTAATACTAGAGTGGAAGATTTTTGGAACATCTCTTGTGCTCCTGGAGAGATTTCAAGTTTTCCATATAGTAAACTGTAAACCTACCTTCATTTGTCTAAGCCTTTTCCAGTAAACATTGGTTTAAACTCAAAAGAAGGATGCTGTTCACCACCTAGAATGAACTATTAACTGCTTTCCTTTAAATATCTAATATGTTAAATCTGCTTTCATGGTTTTTTAAAATTTTAAATATACCTCTTCAGATAGCATCTCCTGCTCTTCTATCAGAAGACAGAACTCTTTAAGTCTTTCCTTTATTAACTCCATTTCTATTTCGCTTATTTGTCTCTGACTCAGGCAAACTTCTATGTCTCCTTCCAATCCATCTAGCTGATCTTCTCCCACTTTTACAAGAACAGTCCAATCTGATGACAAAAGCTGTTTGTTCAGAAAAATAAAATAAAATAAGTGATTATATTATGTAAGGCACCCTTTTGGCATCAGAGGGGGCTCCAGTTATTGCTACTGTCAGAAAGCAGTCAATCATTTTGTGGTTTCAGTGGTATAACCAGTTAAACCAGGGCTGGGGAACCCTTTTTGGGTCAGGGGCCACACACAAGTGAGAAGCAAAACCACAACACACCTCACGCTGACATGGACCCCAACTAAGAAGCAGAAAGACACTCCCCACATTCCCCTCGCACATGAGAGCCTAGGGAGGCCTGGCCTACTAGATTTTGTGGTCTCACCAGGCTTTGGGGTGATGCTAAAAAATGAGGTGTTCAGTGTGTGGGAGGAGGCTTCTGGGAAGAGGGCTTGGGTTATGGTGTCTGGGCAGGAGGGAGGGGGCAGGAGTGGGCTGTGGGGTCTTGACAGGAGGGGTTTGGGGTGAGAGCTGGGTGGGAAACAGGGTGCAGGAGCAGGCAATGGGTAAGGGATCTGGGTGATGAGCAACATGTTGCTCCCCTGCCAGATGGACAGGGTGTGGCAGTACATGGAGATACTTCCTCCTCAGCAGACAGAGCTCATGGGTCAGATCCAGCCCTGGGCTTTCCTGACTCTGGCCCCTGAAGCTCAGAGATCCCCCCCGAGCAGGGAGCCAGTACTGGCACTCCAATGCCATGGGGAGGAGCCACATGGGGGTCACAGAGCTGGAGTATCAGTACCGGCTCCCTGCTGTTGTGGGGGGGAAGCCCTGAGCCTCGGGGGCCAGAGCCAGGCAAGCTGGGGCCCGAATGTTCCACACTCCTGGGTTACACTTTACATTAGTTTAACATTTAAGTGACTAACTGGCTCCAGCTCCCAAGCCTGCCGCCGGCTGGATCCCGCGCTGGGGCAGACTGCAGGCAGGGAAACTGGTTAACATCATCACTCAGTATAGGTGATGCTTACAAGGTAACTGGTTATCCTTTCACATCCCTCTTCTGAACACTTCTATCTTCATTTCTGTAACTACACAGTGAATTTTAGAGTAATTTTTCAACTCCAACACCAAAAAGCAAGCACTTGTGGTGTCATGTCTTGATTGCACCAGGCACCAGGTTAAAGGTCTCGTGCTCTAAGAATATGGAATTGATGTATGGAACACCAACTCCATAATTTAAAATATATGGAGATTCGTATGAAATTTGTGTTCAGGATTTTAGCTAATTTGTTCCAACATACATATGCAATCAAATGTAGATATTCTTAAACAGCTGTCGGATCATGTGGTGCTTGCTCTCATATTCCATTGTAAGAAACAGGATGGGAGAGTTGGGGAACAAAGGGAGAAGTAAAAGAAACAGGCTAGTTTAAAAAAAAAAAATCTGATAGAAAAAGAATTATTTAAATCCTATTTTAAAAGTTTGCATTAAATGCAGGTTTATTTTTTAAAAATAAACCTTTAAAATTTGAAATTATGAAACCTGTGTTAATGTCTACATTTACTAGAATCTATTAAAATCAATTAAGTTAAAAAAAAGAAACCAACAACAAGAAGCAGTCCACATTGCTGCCAGGTTTTAATGAAAGCCAAACCACTGAAATAATAGTAGTTTCTGTCTAAGCCGCTGTAATCTAATTTCGTTGAAGTGTTAAACCAGCTTTTGACAACAGCAGGTGCAGAAAGAATATTTTTTCACTTCAAGTTTATTCAGCTAGTAATTGAACTGAACTAGTTCATTCAAAGTTAGGGAAACAATAGGAGTTGAAAAAGCATAAGAGCTTGTTTTCTTTTTTCAAGATCTATGAATAAAAGTTAGATGTGAGAGGATGGGATACACTACAGGCTAGTCCAGACCAGGGGTGGCCCTCTGCTGCCGGCCTTTGTCCCCGGCTCCTGCTCCCGCTCCCAGCCAGCAGGCTCCACCCGATGGCTACTAAGCTCCAACTACAGCCACAGGCTGCCAGCCCCCAGGTTCTGCTCCCAGCAACATCTGTGGTCCTGCTGCCCAGTTTTCCTCCCCCTGCCCCTCCCCCCATGAGCACTGCAACCCCGAGTGCACACAGAATCCCTGACTATTCCAGACCATGGATGTTGTCAGACCAGAGAGTCCCGGGCTAGAGAGATTAAACCTGCAGTTTTAAAATATTGAAGGACATGGTGATCAGAAACAAAATCAATTCAGTTCTCTAAATACATATAAAACTTCCTTCATTTAATAAATCAGTCATTTTAATTGTAAACCTATTTTGATAACTTTATTGATAAACTCTTCTCATGCAGCCAGCACAGAAAATTCCTAAAATGCTATTTTGTGCATTTTAATTGAATTTCTATCTAAATAGAGCTTGATACAAGTCACAAGTTTAAAAAAAAAATCAGTAATCCAGTAAATAAGAAATGTATCATTCACCATTTTCTAAAAATAAAAAATGTAAAAGTTAAGAATCTGAATAAAATGTATATAAATAAAACATATGATCTTGATTAGCAAAGAACATGTACCACGTTTAGTATAAAGACTGTATTTGGTTACAAAATACAGGCAGTCCCCGAGTTACGCGGATCCAACTTATGTCGGATCCGCAGTTACGAACGGGGATTTCTCGCCCCGGAGAACTAGAGCAGCGGGACGCCTAGTCCCGCCGCCCGCCTTCTCCGGGGCGAGAAAAGCTGCTCCCCATCTCCCTGGTCTGCTGGCGGAGCCAGCAGACCAGGGAGACGGGAGCAAAGCAGCAGAGCACCCAGGGCCGGACCCGCGGCCGCTTCCAGATCAGCGGCTGAATCTGGATTCCAGTTCCGACTTACATACAGATTCAACTTAAGAACAAACCCACAGTCCCT